ATAACAGTTGACACACCGGGCACAGTAGCTGAGGGCCCAGTCTCAGAATGGAAGAACTGCAGAATTCCACCCTGGGATAGGCAAAGCATGAGGCCTGACATGTGAGAGGGTGCACTCAGAGAGACCAGGGAGGAGACAACGGTGCAGCTAGTTCTGTAACTATGACAGCTGCACTAATTCCAGCAGCACGCCTATGATGGGGATATCTGGGATGCCGCTCCAAAAGATCGTTGTGATGTATTTCAGCAGAGTGAAATCTGTGCCACTAGCCATCTGTCCTAATGGCCAGTACCGAATGATAGATCATTTACAATTTTCCATTCCAATTAAGCAATAATTAAAATAAATAAAAGATCTTCAAAGTTTAAAATTAACCACTTTGTTAAAATATTAGGTTTCCCCCAATTGTTATACAAGTTTTAAAAGGTAATGAAAACTGTATTTTGCAATTGTAACAACTATTACAAATGAAATGGTGACAGAGCTAACAAATGATGAAAAGCACCAGACACATTCAATCTAGATTGCAATAAAGCATTCTTTACACTATCACATGAGAAGCTGGTGGCTAAATTAAGAGGACAGGCATCAGTTCTATTGTGATATCCTTTTTGAATCCATGGTATGAGATAGGATGCAATAGGTCATTGGAATACAACTGAATCATCTTAAAAAGAATACATACAGAATACCCGAAACATGTGACTTCAAACAGCCTATTTTCCCTTTTGTCGCTAACATCAAAACTAGCACTCTGAGCTTGGTTCCCCCCAAGCCTGGCACCCCAGGCGGTGGTCACCTGCCCCTAAATCTGGCCCAGGGTGAGGCTCAGTATTTGCCAGCAGCAGTAAAGGCAGAGTCACAGGGTCAAAATCAGCCTGTTTTAGAAAAAGATGCAAATGACACTGAGGTTGCAATCCCTTTTAGGGCAGGGTTTATCTTTATCTTTTTGCCTAGCACACCGCCAAAAATACTGTCAGCACTAAACAACAAAAAATAGTAAATAATAACAGGGTTCCTTCCACTTATTCCAGGCCTGAATTTGACCTTTAGTATTCAGTATAAGGGGATGCTCAGGGAGGTGGGGGGCTGTGGCATAGGTGCTCAGGGGATTAATTATAAGTCAAGGAAGATTTGTATTATTATTGCACATATTTATAAGGTGCCACTGTGGTATTTGGGTGTCTTAAACTGAGGCACTAACATTTTGAATAAGAGCAGGAAAGCACCCGCATGTTTCTACTTCTTGCAGGTTTGGGGCAGACAATGAAGAGAGATATGGCCAGTCGGCTAAGCACCAGAATTCATACTTCCTCATATGAGTGCATGGCATGTCTCAGCCATGCTACCAACACAGTCATTCTAATGGTGTCATGTGTGACATTTATGACCAGATGGAATATGCCCCCATGTGGGGAAAATAAGGCAGGGCCTGCCCAGATAATCGGGTGCTCACTTTCAGATCGGGTGCCCCTAGGGTTGCCAAGTTCCAGTGCCTAGGGGCAGGAGCCTCTTGGCACCCCAGGGACTAGGGCTGGGGCAGTGGGTGGTTGGAGGGAGCTATAGCGGGGGATGCTCAGCAGCAGTAGGTGGGGATTGGAGCCCCAGGCTCAGGGTGGTTGGGGGCAATGTAGCAGGGGAATGCTCAGTGAGGCTCAGGGTGGCAGGGGAGGGGCTCAAGGAGGCTGTAGCAGGGGAGACTCAATATGGCAGAGAACTGTAGCAGGGAGGGCTCAGGGAGGAGGGGCGCTGAAGCTGGGGCTTGCTCAGGGCAATGGGGGGTTGTAGCTGTGGGATGCTCAGGGAGGCGGGGGGCTCAGGTGCCAGCAGGAGATGTAGCTGGGGGATGCTCAGGCAGGCGGGGGGCTGTAGCTGGGGGATGCACAGGGAAGCGGGAATGCACAGGGAAGCAGGGGGCTGTAGAGGGGATGCACAGGGAAGCGGGGAGTATTAGGGATGCGGGAGGCTGTAGCTGGGGTGGGGATGCTCAGGGAGGCCGGAGGCGGGGGGCTGTAGCTGGGGTGGGGTGCTCAGGGAGGCCGG